AACATTATAAAAGCAAAAGCCTAATCAAAATGCAGTATTGCCCTTAAAGCATCATTCAAAAGAGGTACTGTAGTTCTCTTCCCTGAGTGACGAGCTATCATGGTTTAACCCCAGCCATCAACCGAATACCACACAGCTGCTCACTCATTCCCCCACCAACAGGGTCAAGGAGAAAACTGGAAAGGTAAAAGTAAGAATCATGGGTTGAGATAAGCACAGTTTAAGAGGACATGCAAAAGCCATGCATACAAGCAAAGCAAAACAAAACAATGACATTAATTCACTGCTTCCATGGGCAGGCAGGTGTTCAGTCATCTCCAGGAGAGCAGAGCTCCATCACACAGAACAGTGACTTGAGAAGACAAGAATCATCACTCCAAACATCCCCCTCTTCCTCCTTCTTCCCCCCATTTATATACTGATCATTATGCCATATAGTCTGAAATATCCCTTTGGTCTGTTGGGGTCAGCTGTCCTGGCTTACAATCTCCCATGCATCCATAGTCTCCTCATCAGCATGGCAGTAGGAAAAGCAGAAAAAGCTTTGGCTCTGCATAAGCCCTGCTCAGCCATACCAAAAACATTTCTCCATTACCAACCCCATGTTCAACACAAATCCAAAGCAAGCCCCATACCAGCTCCTGTGAAGAAAGTTAACCCTACCCCAGATAAACCAGCACAAAGGCACATGAAAAGCTTCAGAATAAGGACTCAGAAAGATTGTGCAGTGAACTGTATTTTGATCTCAGGCACGTGTTCCACCTCAAACTGCCACTCTGCTTAAGGATGATAACGCTGCTTTTGAGACGGGATGAGAGTACATCTGACACAGCCCTGTGCAAGCAAGTAAATATTATACTCCAAAAACATTTATCCTTTAGACACATTTATGCTTAACTTCAGACTTCTAAAACGTGGTAATGACTAATTGAGATTCTTATTAAGTAGTGGAGAGGAACACTTTTAAGTCCTGTTACAGCTGGTCTAGATTATATGTCTACTTCTGGACAACATTTATCAGGCCTTAGAAATGTTGCATTAGTACAGAGAGATTGGAGACAACTCTTTATTGCCTGTATGTCTAAGTTGTACAGACACAAGAATATCTGAAAAGCCCAGCTGTCACTGCAAAATGCTGATTAGGAATGAAAATATTGCTTATGAACACCACTGCCCTGTGTCACTGTACACAGTGACAAATTAAGGGAAAGGAAGACTTTGATATTTAGCCATACATGGCAATACTGCTAGCATCACACTGGCTGAGTAAACACTAGGGAAGCAAGGTCAGAAAGGAGCTGCAGGCAACAGAGGCAACAAGAGCTGGATGGAGCTCTTCAGTTTCTGCACCGGGGTTAGTACCTCCACACACACATGGAGGGAGGTACTGTGCTACACGGGGGCACCAGCATGGTGTACTAACTCCACTGCACTGCGCTGTTAGGCCCAAGCACTCCTGCTATTAATTGGCTCAAATTACATCAATGCACCACTCTCTTGCACTTATTAAACAAATGCCTTATCTAAAGCATAGTCTGTGTCTTTTACAGCAATGCTAAGTGTGACTCCATCACTAAACTTTCAGGTATCAGTTGGATATTGCATGCTCGGTACTTTAATATTTAATAATTATTCAGTGGATTTTTAAAGGAGACCATCCTCAAACCAGATGGATACATTTTACAAAAATGGTAAATTTTTTTTAAGATTTTTGTCTTCCATACATTGAAATCAATGTTAAAAAAGTTCAGTTTCTGTACTCACTATGTCAAGCAAGAACAAGGAAATAGCAGTCAAAAAGGATTTCAAGTTTCAATTCTTGGTGGAAGATCTGAATAAAGCGGTTCAATTTAGGTATTTCTCCACTTTTGGCCAAGTTTGAGCCCCTGTAACTCTACAAAAACACACCCCTACCAGTAGATACACTGCTGAGTAGACCTGATTCATTCAGACACAAGTTCAAAACACCTGTCTCAGCTGCAGTACAGGTACAACCTGATGAGGATGCCCGAAGTCTTTTCTGCTTAACAGAAGGCACATGGAATTGATTCCTCTCTCACACTAATGTTATCCATGGCACAGTCTAATGAAGTCAGAGTTAGAATTGCTTTGAATCTACACTAGCATGCATGAGAGAACACTATGACTGTGTGCATCTCTTAGAGGATTTTTTTTTTCTTATTTCTAATGTTCCTCTGGGAGATCTCATTGCCAGTTTCAACAAAGGACATCATCTCTTTGCAGATGATATCCAACTCTACAACTCTGTCAAGTCAGTCTCTGATCCCCTTCTTCCCACCTGTCTTCAACATGTCAATCAACAGATGGCTACACCATCACTAAGGAATGCTTCAAAGGCATTCAAAATGTTTTAAAAGTCCTCTTTGTTCCATGTCTCTTGCTCTGCTATCAGTCTTCTTAATTCAGCCCTTCAGCTCTCTGCCAAAAATCTTGCTGCTATCCATAACACAGGGTTTTAAATTTCTTTTCTCTACTTAAAAGCTACTTCCATATTATATACAGATTTATCCATACTTTGACATCTGCTTCCGCTGTGTTATGTTGAATGTTCTACTCCAGTTTGAAAAAAAAGCCATTTTGTCCACTGTGGCATTGCAAAAACATATTTTCTAACTTCACCAACCAATGGGCAGGAAAGAGAATACTACCCTACTTCAAAAAGTGGAGACTCTCTCAGGAACTTTCAATGTCTTCTTAAGTGCAGAATCTCATTTTCAGATTTGTGTCTACAGCTGGAAGCTAAAGCCTTCTGATGTACTCAGAAGAGTAATACTGGGTTTTGCCAGATGACTGTTATTATCAAAATATCATTCTGGTATTACCTAAATGTAATTGTGTTGGACTGCACCAGATTTCTCTCACAGCATCTTGGGTTTTGCTTCTTCTAAGCCCTTTCTTATCTATGTGTCCTCCCTACAAGCTTCCAAAAATGAGAAAGCAAGCCCATTCCTTCACTTACCCTATTTTACTCTTGCCTACATTTTCAAGCCTTCCCTGCAAACCACTGTATCATATTCAGTACAGCCCCATTTCCACAGAATTAATGTTCTAACAATTTGTAATAATAACCTGTCATAAATCTGTAGTGTCTCTGCTGGTAAAGGAATTGGCAGAATGTAAAATGGATTAACAAAAGTGAAGCGTAGCCACATGAGGAAAAAATCAGTGCAGTGGAAGTAGGGAATCTGATGTAAAAATACCAATGAGTCGCTGATGTAAAAAATGCCAAAGAAAAAAACTGTATGGGTCAATGATCAACAACCTAAACCCCACTGATAGCTGCACCCAGAGAGCCTCACATGGGTGCCCCTGAAAGCTGACAACCACAAAATCCCAGTGTATGTTTTGTATGTACAAAAAGGGCTGCAAACAGATTGGCACACATCGTTCTCTTAGAAAGGGGATTATCATTCTATTAGTTACTGCCTCCACCTCCTCTTTCATCCTATCATTTGCAATCCCGTAACACTAGTGGTAACCATAGCCATCATGTAGAAAGAGCATTTAGTGTTCTCCTTTGAACAGCATTTAGCAGATGGAACCAGGTCGCTTTCACAGAACCACAGAATGGGTAAATTGTGCAGAAGGGATTACAGTGGGTCATCTGATCCAGCCTCTCTGCTGAGGCAGGGTCATCCCAGAGCACATGGCACAGAAGTGCATCTAGATGGTTCTTGTACATCTTCCACGAAGGAGACTCTACAACCCCTCTGGGCAATCTGGGCAATCTGTTCCCAGGTGTGTGATCACCTGCACAGTAAAGACATTCTTGCTTATATTCAGGTGGAGCTTCCTGTACATCAGTTTCTGACCCTTGCCTCATTCATGTTCAAGTGGTTGGCACCACCAAGAAGTGTCTGGACCCATCCCCTCAGCACCCCCCCTTTGGATATTTATACACATTAATAAGGTTCCTTCTCTGTCATGTGTTCTCGAGGCTGAACAGACCCAGCTCCCTCTGCCTTTCCTCTTAACAGAGAGGCTCCGAAGAGAGGGTGACTCTCTTTGTCACCCTGTGCTGGACCCTCTCCAGGATCTTCACATCCCTTGGGCTGGGGATCTGGCTCCTGGACAACTCCCAACTGGACACTCCAGATGGGACCTCCCCAGGGCTGAGCAGAGGGGCAGGATCGCCTCCCTGGACCTGCTGGCAATGCTCTCCTTATGGATCCCTGGACAGCACTGGCCTTGGCCCAGGGACACGCTGCTGGCTCAGGGACAGCTCGTTGTCCACCAGGACGCCCAGGTCCTTCTCGGCAGAGCTGCCCCCCGGCAGGTCAGCCCCGGCCTGTGCTGGTGCCAGGGTTATTCCTAGAGCTTCACATCCCTTGGGCTGGGGAGCCAGAGCTGGACACTCCAGATGGGACCTCCCCAGGGCTGAGCAGAGGGGCAGGATCGCCTCCCTGGACCTGCTGGCAATGCTCTCCTTATGGATCCCTGGACAGCACTGGCCTTGGCCCAGGGACACGCTGCTGGCTCAGGGACAGCTCGTTGTCCACCAGGACGCCCAGGTCCTTCTCGGCAGAGCTGCCCCCCGGCAGGTCAGCCCCGGCCTGTGCTGGTGCCAGGGTTATTCCTCCCAGGGGCAGGGAGGAATTCGCCTCTGTTGAGTTTCACACAGTTCTTCTCTGACCCTCTCTTCAAGCTGTGCAGGTCTTTCCGAAGGGCAGCACAGAGCCCTCGGGAGTATCGGCCGCTCCTCACGGCTTTGTGCCGTCAGCAAACTTGTTGAGGGGATACTCTGCCCCTCCATCCCTTTGCCAGCTGCTCTCAGAGAACCAGTGAGGAGCAGCCCAGAGACGCCGAGCCCCTCTCAGAGCTCCAAGCTGCGCACACGCGGCTGTGGCGGCGGCTCGGGCAGGGCAGCGCGGCCCCGGCCCGGCGCCCCGTCGCCATGGCGACCGGCGGCCGCGTCCCGCGGGGCGGAAGGGCCGCGCTCTCGCGAGATGGCGGCGGCCGGGCCGGAAGGAGGCGCGCGTTTGAAGGCGGCGGCGGCGGGAAGGGGCGGCGGTGGCGGTGCCGGGCAGGTGAGTGTGTGAGTGCGGCTGTCCCGTGGTGCGGCTGTCCCGTGCTGTAGTGCGGGGTCACGGCGCTCCTGAGCTGCCGCTGCTGCGGGGCTCGCCCGAAGGCAGCGACCTGTGGCTGCAGCGGCGGCTGCCCGTGCCCGCGGCGGCGCCGGGCTGGCCCTTCCCTGCCCTGCCCGGTTTCTGTCCCGGCGGGGATGGCTGAGCGCAGCCACCAGCGTCCTGAGGGTGTTGGGCTTAAAAAAGTAGGGAAACGGCTTCATTTTCAGAAATAGAATAACTGAGCTGCGAGGTTACAGCGGTTTGGAAAGTTTAGGCGGTGCAGTTTTAAAAGGCTCCGAGTTCTGCCGTGGGACGAGGATGAGCTTTAGGTTTTAGTAGGATGTTTGCTCGCTGGGTGTTACTCGTTTCCAAACTTGTTTTAAGGCTTGTTCAGCCAAGTATTTGTGTGTGGAATCATTTAGGTTGGAAAAGACGTCTAAGATCATCAATCATATATCTTTTATCATATGATTTGTACATATAGATTAAATTCTGTGAAGAGCTTTAAAAAAACCCACAAACGTGAGGAAGCATAAATTTTTATTTGGACTGTACCAAATCATGAAGTAATTGGATGCTGAAAAATCTTTATAGTAACTTTGGCTCTGTTCTCAGTGTTTCATTCTAAGACAAAAAAACCCCAAAAACATAAAAACAAAAACACCACCAAAAACCTGTTTGTTTCAGGTGAGTAAGTGAACCTGAAATCACACTGTTGCAGTTCTTGAGTGACATTGGATTTTACACTGGTTTTGAAAAACTGCAAAAGTGAATGTCAAATAAGAGGTTTTTACAATATCAAATGACAGGGCTTTGGGAATCACTCACACAGGGGGATGCAAGATGTTGAATCCATATCACAGCCTCAGAATGAAAATTGAGCCTTCAGTCTTAGTTCTAATTTCTTGACTGAAAGACTTGCTTATTAAATCTTACTTGTTTTATCATTATTGTCTAGCATAAACTGCTTAGATATTTACTTCTTAGTATGTTCAATTATAAGTATTTTCAAGTCCCATTTTTCATAATGCATGTATTTTTAACACATATTCTTAGAGAATATTTGTAATATTTGTTAGCTATCTCATTGAGAAAGCACAAGTGCAGTTTCTTGTTCTCTAGTCTCCACCATTTACACGGTATGCTTTTAAAATAAGTTATCCATTATTTAAAAGAAATTATTGGCATTGACTCTGACTGATTTATGGTGTACACTTATAAAATGTTGTTGAAGTCACGTGTTTCAATATAATTCTCAACTTTTGTTGGTATCTTGAGAGAATAAATATTAACATTTTGTTAAATAATGCCTGTGCAACACTGAAAGGTGAATGGAATATTTATATGATTGTCAAATATTTACTTTGAATTTGAACCAACAAAACAGGAAAACTGGCAGAAAATGTCACCTGGAAAAGTTCTGCAACCTGCAGTGAAAATGAAGGTGGATGAACTCTTTTTGTGCTGGTTGAGTCAGCCTGCAACTCAGCTAATACTAAAGGACTGCTTGAGAAGAATCAAGAATAAGGAGAAAACAGAGTTTGGTAATGCAGATTCAGGAAACAGTAAAAATGAGAGCCTCACCAGTAAAAATTCCAATTCCAAGCAGTGCATATTAGGAGATACCAGACTGCCTTTGATGTCTTTGAGTCCTCCTCAGCTTTCTACTACTCTTCCATTGGCGACTCCAGCTAGCTCAAGGAACATTTCTAATGTTAGAGCAACACGCCGATCCTCGGGGACCAAAGAAGTAAGTTTATTTCTTATTAGATGTATTTGTTTAAATGGAACTGACTTTTGTGTCTGTGGTATTATGTAAGTAAATTATGTAAGTAAATAGTTTCCCCAGAGGAGGCATCAGGAGTGGAGTGAAGCAGCTGCACTGAACCTAAAATACCAATGTTTGTGTGTCACTAGTGTTAGTGGGTAGGTGGCCTGAGCTTCCATAAGATTATCTTGGGCCCTTGCTATCTAACTGTGGATGAATTTAAGTCCTTGTGTTTGCATTCCTTTTATAACATACTGCCTTGACTGCAAATATTCCTTTGTCTAATGATACCAGGCACTGTTGTTAGTACAAGACTCAAATTTGGCTTCACTGGATCTGCATATTAACTAAGTAATTGTTTTGGTACTGCATGGTACACTTGGCACTTCCTTCCTAATGAGCTCTTTATTTATAACAGACAATGCCCTCTATGCAAGGAGGACAACCCTGCCCCCAACCTGAAACCTTCTTTTTAAGCTCGCAATTCAGTTCAGTCTAGTTTCTAGCTCTTTTCATAAAAAAACCCCACAAAACTGGATAGAAAATGTTGTCATTACTGACAAAGTTGTGTTGCTTATGTATGATCAATTATCCTAGAATCATAGAATTATAGAATTATAAAATAGTTCGGACTGCAAGGGACCTTCAAGACCCTCTAGTTCCAACCACCCTGCCATGGACAGGGACACCTTCCATTTGACCAGGTTGCACAAAGCCCTGTCCAACCTGGCTTTGAGCACTCCCAGGGATGGGAGACGCACAGCTTCTCTGGGCAACCTGTTTCAGTGTCTCACCATCCTCATGGTAAAGAATTTCAATAATTTCTTCACTAATATTTGGTCTAAACCTACCCTTTCAGTTTAAAGCCCTTTCCCCTTGTCCTGTCACTACATGCCCTTGTGCAATGTCCCTCTCCTGCTCACTTGTAGGTCCCCTTTAAGTACTGGAAGGCTGCTCTAAGTTCTCCCCAGAGCCTTCTCTTTTCCAGGTGGACCAACCCCCAACTCTCTCAGCCTGTTGTCTTTGGCAGGGTGCTGCAGCCCCATCTTTGTGACCTTCTGGACTTGCTCCACCAGATCCAAGTCCTTCTTATGGTGAGGATCCCGGAGCTGGGCACAGCACTCCAGCTGGGGTCTCTGGAGCAGAGGAGGGAGCAAGAATCAACCTTTCCCTGCTGGCTGGCTGATTTTGATGCAGCCCAGGATGTTTGGCTTTCTGAGTTGCAAGTGCACATTGCTGGGTCATGTTGAGCTTTTCATCCAGCAGCATCTCCAAGTCCTCTACCCGAGGGCTCCTCTCAATCTGTTATCCCCCCAGCTTGTCTTTGGCTTGGGATTTCCTTGTCCCAGATGCAGGGCCTTCCACTTGACCTTGCTGAACTTCATGACATTCATAATGACTTCAAAGAGTTTTCATGCTGTTTGTGCTATAGAACTATAAATTAATACATTTTAATATTACTGGAAAATTTTAAGAGGTTGTAATTCCCAATTGTTCTATATACTTTGGTATCTAACTTATTGCAGTGTCCAAACCTGGTATCCTAGGGAAGCCTGCTCAGTTGGGTAAGGATAGAGAGGATAAAGCTGGGATATTTAAGAGTATCAGTTATTTATTGTTTGTTGTTGATATGCATTGAGCGTGTAGACTTACCCTTTAACCCACAGGAGTAACAGCATGACTCTTTTGCACTTAAACATTTAATCTGAAGTGGCCTCTTGGTTTCTTAAATATTAATTTTCAAATCTAGTTTCACAACTTCTTAGCTCCAAAACACCACATGTCCAGTCCAGTGTTTGCCTAGATTGACTTTACAATAATAGGGACTTGTGTTTGTGTATATTCACCAGCCGAACAGCAGGGCATGATGATTGATTTACTTTTTTGTTGTTGTTCACACTGTTATGTTTCCTGCTCTAGTGAAATGCAGAAAGTCAGTCAACAGATGCTCAGTTTATTGTTGTATCAGATAAAAGCAGGCAGAGTTTCTGTTAAAACCCACTGTTATTTACTATACTTGATCACTAACTTGTGTATTGTAATTTCTCTTCACATGTCTTGGTTGATTACTTGAAGTAAATCCCATAAAGAAGAACTTGAAGAGATTAATGAAGAGTAACATCCTTGACTTAATTGCAATTGTTTGTATAGTGATGAGAGTGAACTTAGAGGAGTTAGATTGTTGGTTGCTTGAGTAGATTGGGGAGGGGGAATTTCCAAGCAATGAGAAATTTATTTATAGCTTTTTATTTAAGGAAATTCAATCTTCATCCAAAAGTTTCTTAATCTCTAAGTGTAAATTGCATTTGTAGCTGGAATTAGCTCTTTAATACCACCAAGAATTGCATGTTCTGCCATGACAGTGTATTTTCTCATAGAAAGTACAATGTACCCCACTTTCTTCCACAAACTACCCCACACGGTGTCAAAACTACTGCATCTGCTGTTGTGCATCTTACTATGTTTCTCAGATCAAGCCACAGTGGTTCTACCTACTTCATATGAGTTTTAAGTAAGTTTGAGGCCCTTGTGTTTCTGCAAGTGGAAGAAAATGTTTCAGATACTGGACCTACATACATAATACAGATTTAAATTCTAAATAGGAGTCCTAGAAAATGGTAAAAGTTAATGTGTGTAGCTCTGTGAGCATGAGGGTGTTGTTAGGAAAAGGCTTTTACATCCAGTCATAAAGAGCTGGAGAATTATTTATTTTTGGACTATACTAGTTAACTTAAGCATCTTATTAAACTTTTTTTATTGTGCACTGGAAGTCTCATAAGGCAGCATACAAGCAGTTAACTTACTTTGGCATGATACATTTTCAGTATCACTGAGCTAAATCACTGCATTTGGTTATGGGTAAAGCTGCTGTATGCATTTTTCCTGTTTCTTAAAATGTTCCTGCAACTTTTTTGAAGGATAACAAACAATAAAGCTGATAACAGAAAACCATCTTTAAGTAATTACCAGGAAGTAAATACGATTGTGTAGGAAAACAACATTTTCATGCTACAGGTTTCTGTACTTGTTAGCAAAGCATGTTTTTCTGAACAGGAAGCATTCTTAATTAGAAGTTAATTAGATGTGTAATATTTTATAAGTTAAACAGTAGCATATGAATCTTTGTGAGTAACTGACACTTAAAAGCAAACAAAATAAGGTGGTGTGCTGACGGCAACCATTAGACAGCATTAAATTTACTGTAGCTGTCAGCTATTGTATTCAAGGAGATTTTTGCTTTCTTTCCTGAGATTAGCTTGTAATTGAAGCCTGTGGGTAATACTTCTATCCAAAATTCAGAAGTTGCCATGTATTTTGCTGAAACACCAATGTCTTGTAAGAGGAGAATTTGCTGTCTTTCAAGACAGTTGAAGCCCTCCTCTGATTAGCAAGTCAAAAGTACTTATTCTAATAATGAAGGAACCTACATGGTCTTTATGGATTTTTGTCATCTGAACAGCTCACTTAAAGCCATGTTAAGAGTAAACTGCTGACTTAATCCAAATGTACATTTTAAAATCTGTTCAAAACTCTACCATGAAAATTCATCTTTCAGTGTGTTTTTATGCAAATGAGAACAAAACAGTGTTTGTTTAGGGATTTTTTTTTTTCCTTTATGGGAGGTACTTTGCTTCACTTGCATGGCGCAGTGAGGCAGATATCTGACTGTACCCATTGTGTAAACATGTTAATGCAGAATTCTGGTCTTGCTAGCACTTGGTATTCTGCAAGTAGGCCTGTGATTTCTATGTACTGTATACTTCAAATAACAAAAATTTAGAGACAAAAAAATTTCAGCATTCAAGTCTCAAATATTTTCTGAGTGTATTGTTGTAGAAATTCTAGGGCTGTAACTTTCAAACTAGGACAGCTGCTGTAGATTTCTTCTAACCCTTATCACAAATGTAGATAGACTTAACAGTGTTTCAGGGACTCTAGATTATCCTAAACACATTAGGTATACACAATTGTACACCGTTCATCACACTGTCAAAAATGCCAGTCCTCAAGGCCTAAAAGGTGCCAAAGGCAAGATGTTTAATCCTGACCAGCTGGTGTGCAAGGCATCTGGGGAAACTATTCACAGAATTCCCTATAAGCATTTTGTGGGATGGTGGTGCAGAGAGAATGTAATATAATCAGAAATACTTCAAAGTTATTTTCCATTTCTCTGCAGGGTCAACCTTTGATATAAAGGCACTTCTTGAAGTGGTTTCTCTACAGCCTTTATTTGATAAGCATACTGTTCCTGCTTGTTATCCTGTGGCAATTAAAGCTCATTTTCCTCCTATATCTGTAACTTGTAAATGTTTTTACTTCTTTAATATGTGGCTGCTTAGGTTTATCATGAACAACATTCTTGCCAAATTTTGTGAACAGTTACTTGATTTAAATGTAGTGGTACTGCTGTGATCCATTTTAGTTTAAAGGGAGGCTAGAATGAAACCTTTTAATATTGGCTGAAGTCTGAATAACACTTAACAGTTGCTTTTTGAAACAAATTAATTTTAAGAGCTTGAGGTAGAGGGTAACTGGGCTGATACCATCATCTTACAAGGTGTCTGTCTGCAGCTGAATTGCTGCCTCGTTCATGGCAGAAGCACTGGTAACTCCAGAGCCTGGCTGTGTGGGCTGTGTTAGCACTGCCCTGCACACCAGGCTGTGCTGTGTGGTCTAACACAGACACTCCCTAACTCTGTATCATGCAAAGATAGTGTTAGTAGTGCTGTGTCCTATCACTAAGTGGGGAGGATGGTGGACTTGGCTTTCAGCTCAAGCCCGTGACTTAAAGGGAGACTGTAAATAACCTGATATCAAACTGATGTACTTTCACAATGATAACTGGGCACTATGAGAGATGTCAGCATTAGTGTGATCTCAATAAAGCTCCTTCTATGGTGCCAACAAAGGAAGGGCAGCCAAAAGTTCATATTAAAGTCTGGAAGAGAGCAGCTATAGGTGTTGCTATGAAATCATTATTA